TTTTTTGGTAAGGGGTTTAATGCATAAAATAAAACTGGAATAATTGTTGCTTTTTACATAAGAAACTCGATCCGAACGCCTCCTTCTGCCTGTTACATACATTTTAACAAAATCATTATACGCAACTAAAAACCCTTTTTAATTACAATTCAATTTATTATAACTATATTCATAATTTATTTACAACAAATTTATTTTAAATAAAAATAAAAGTGAAACAAATTAAATGAAAGGTAAGCAAATTAAATGCATTAGCTTGTTTTTAGTCAAAGTTAATGTGCCCAATGGCATTTAATAAACATGAGCAAATCATGTATAGAGATATATATTTTAATTTATTTAGTATTTCACACTCATTTATAATTATAATGAGATTAGTACAAAATACAACAACAAACATATATACATGTATATTATTTTTTATTTCAAAAGTGGCGTGAATTCTATTGAAATTTATGTATTTTTTAATTAACCAATTAAACACAGACAATTAAAAAGTCGATTGTTTGAAGGCCTGGGTATTTCCTAGCAAGTTCACGCAGAGAGTGCGAAAGAGAGAAGAACAGAGAGAGAGAAAGAGGAAGAGAGAGCGAGAGAGAGAATCTGGAATTTATGTTTATTAAATAACATATGCAGATCATGTGGAATAACCCGCATCCATTAAGACAAAAGCATTTTGCATTTTCGCTTTTAGTTTTTGTTGCGATTTCGTTCCAAACTGAATTCCAATTCCGGTGCGAAATTAATAAATCGAGTCGATGTCCTGCTGCTGGCTTTGTTATTGTCATTTGGCAGATTTTAATTAGGTCGTAATCCAATTAGTTTCTGCTCCCTTTACCTCGTTTACAATTATTTGCCAATTAAACGAGTCACCAGGGCGACTCAAAGAAGCGACACAGAGGCCAACACAAGAGATATATGAATGGAGTGAAGTCAATGGTGTTGAGAAAATCTTGTTTGTGTGCCACTGTAGCTATAGATACGACTCACGGCAATCTTTATTCTTTAACGAAGAACTCATTCAGTTCAGTTGCTTGTTAAACTACTTCGGCCTCCGTTAAAACACCGACTTGCTACACGTGTAACCATTAGATCGCATGCATATTTCAGAGCTTAATTTTCCGAGCTGCTGGCGAATCTGTGCAAGCATTGAGTGCGTGTGTGTGAGCGGGTGCGTTCATGCGTGTGTGTGTATGCGACATCCCCTACAGCAGTTGCACAGCCTCGAAAGCGGATGCAAAATTTAAACTTTGGAATTCGCTAAACTAAAATGATAGCATCGTTAGAGTTTGTCGCATATAAGTGGAAAGGAAAGCCGACAGAACACTGAGCGAAAATAATGTTAAATTCACAAAGAACTTATCTTCATATTTTTAATTTGTTAAACTTTTTAGTTAAATAAAAAAAACTCTAACAAATATATTTATTTATTGTTAGTTTCTTCTTACTACTTCTTAAATACTTTTTATAGTCAAGTGTATAAAAATGTTTATCAAATAAATATGAAATACCGAAGATACCGAAGAAGCTGCTAAGAATGGACGATATAAAAATAGAGCAAGGGAATTGCAGAAGCAGAGCAACACAAGGAACTAATTAAATTATCAGAACTTTCTATGAACGAGGAATTCTTTTTTTTTTTTGTATTTTACCTCAAACTAAAATTATATGCTCCACTACTTTTCGCGCCTTTTAGTTTTAAGTGTATTAAAGTTTATTTTATTTTATTCTTTGCAAAAAATTATTCAAGTATGAATGTTGTAGGATTACTTGCACGAAAAAGCCCAAACTGTTTTTGTACCCATCGTAAAAATAATCCTTAGAGCACAATATACGAATTCAAGCGTAAGAATGTCAGCATAGACCGCACCTAGCATAAGACGTCTCCAATTACTGAAAGTGGGCCAGGATTGTCATCTTAGCCTAGGATTTTATGCCATAAAGTGAATTCAGGCTGTTGTTGGCCTCAGAAAGGTTAATTTGCATCCATACAATTGGTATGAAAGTATATTAAAGCTAAGAAAGTTTTCTACTTTAACGAAAAAGGAAATGTGCTTCAGTTGAACAAATAGTCAGTTCTTCACAAACATTAGGTAGGCACTGTGTTTAATTTGACTTTAACATTTCTTTAAAAACCAGGGCATAATAAAGATCAACAAGAAACTCTAGAGAAAAGCTTTCCATTTTCCATTCCATTTCCATTCAACTCAACTACTTATAAAGCTCTACTATTCACTCCACCTTTTCGCTGAGTGTACTTGTGTGGCATATGCAGCGCACATACTTGATTCAACTTTCTGAATGCACACAAATTGAGCATGAAAGTTTTAAGTTTGGCTGGCCAAGTGGATAGAAATTCGCTTTAGCCTGCTGCAAGATGATGGATGAAGGATGCAGTGGCTCGAGCTCAACTTTTGTCGCCATTTTCATTCTTCTCCTCCTAGTTGTGAAGAATGTTTACGCAGAACTCGAGCGGCAAAGTCAACTGGCTCAACTCGATTTGCTGCCGAGGACGGACGTTGGCCGGACAAACAATGCTGATAGCTGACTATCATATTTATGGCTGAGAGCAATAAAAAGATTTCGCTGCTTGAACATATTGAAATCGACAATGCACACCAATGCTGAGAGCCCCCTCTAGGGTCCATATGGTGGCACGTGTCTGCACACCGAATAAGCTGTTGGCCAATACAATTTATGACCCTTGCAGTTACATGCAACAACAGAAGCCGCAGCAACAAAGACGACAGAAACAGCAACATATTGACGTAAATCGAAAAAAGAGCTGTCACCTGTCCAATATGCCAGAGGTAAACTGTGCTCGCTCACATATGAATAAAAATCTAATAAAGCAAACAGGGACACAAGGGCAACAAGGGAAGTGGGTCGCAGTGTGAATGTCCGGCTAGGATACAACCGTCAACATCCCGAAACATCTGATAGAAACTCATTTGAATCAATAAAGTGTATAAAAGAATCTTTAACAAGAAGGATCTCATTAAAAGCAACTTGCTCAAGACCTTTGAATTCAGGAGTTTGCACAAATACATCTTGCAGGCATTCCTCCATGTGCAACACATATTGATGGCATAATAAAGACTAATTGATTAGGCCAAAGTAATAGCCTTAATAGAAGCAATCCATGACAACAGAGTGAGGGAGAGAGAGAGAGACAGGACGAGAAGCCAAGTCCAGCAGAAGTAGATCTGTCCTAGGTTTGATTAGTCTGTTTACAGCATTTCTTATTAGATGAAGTATCATTAAATTTACTTCGGCACTTTAGTCAGCTACTACTCAACTAGCCTCTTGTTGTTTAGGAAGTTGTTGATTTTACGACACTCGTCTTAGGTATTTTATGGGTCGCCCACATGTTGTCATCCGGCTCGACATATTTGCCAACCAGAATCGCTTAGAAATTCCCAATTGGAATGTTGTACCCCAAAAATAAAACCGAACCCAAACAAACAACAAATAAAGCAAATTTCTTCTTCACATGCGCCGAGCATATAAATTTGTTAACAGTTGTTAATAACAAAAACCAAAAAAGTAGAAAGATATTTATCTTTATTAATTTGCATTGCAAATATAGATATATATTTGTATATATATAGTCGCATTCATAGCTCGACTTACCTGTAGCTCGCGTTATCTGCTTTTCACTATCTGAACGACGCTTTAATTATGCAAATTGTTGGCGCCAGCAAAAAGTGCTAAAAATAAGCAAAACATACACAGCGAATAAAAAATCTGACATTAACAAATTGAACCGTTAAAAAGCAAATGACAAATTACAATAAAATCGAATTTCAACAAACAATCAGATAAGAGCCTCTTGCGGTCCCAAATCCTCGTGCTAATAAAAATGTAAATATCTGGGGGGCGTTGATAGGTCATTGAGTGGTACAGGGTATTCTAGAGGGCTTGTGGCATATCTGGCGCGAAGCTATAGGGTATCAGCCAAGTATCTGTTAGTCTTAAAAGTAACCGGGTACAGGGTATCTACTAATTGGATCAGCAAAGTATGTAATTATATTGTGAATTAAAATATCTTTGACATAGGTAAGCTACACCTGTAGTTTACAGCTTGTAGTTTATCGATTATGGGGTATTTTTCTTAAAGAACGTTTTATTATTTTCCAAATATAGAGACTATTATAAAATTTCTAAATAAGTACAGGGTATCAATTTTATTTCATATCGGCAACTATAATGGGTATCTTCTATTTGATCATTAATTTATTTGATGTTTTATTTTGATTACTTTCTACTCTTAACATTAACCCAAGTATAGGGTATTTATGCATCACTCATTTAAATTTTTGTCGGCTTGGCTTTTCTCATCAATGGTTACTTAATTCAATAATAATTCGTAAAGTATTAAACAGAATATTAAATTACGTTGAATGTTAATTAAGCGCCATTAGTTTAATTGCAAATTTTATTGAATTTATAATTACACATGCAAGTCGAGGTTGTTCTGGTTGAGTTTGATCGCCTTGAAAATACCTTCTAAACAGCTACATGCTAAAATCTGTAGTCTTTAAATTGATCTTTATCGAAATTTCTGTTTGCATTCAAACTGATATTTGTCTATCGATAAAATAAACTAAATACTTGCACTATTGATATATATATATATGTACATAGCCAAATTATTTATATCGTAAGCCAATAACTGTCCAGCAGCCCTGCTCTAATAGTCTTCCAATTTAACATTTTATATGGGGAGAATTTTCCTTCCACTCTAAGCAAACACAAAGCTGTGCTTGTCTCTTCGAAACACTTTAAAATGCCATAAATAGGAAAACCCAATCTATTATGGGATATGTACACAAGTAAAAGCCTTTTATATTGCCTCCAGCTCTGTTTGCCCACACTCGTCTTCTGTTGGCTTAATATGAAATAATGATACGAGTGAAATCGAGTCCCAGGCCCAACACATATTCAGTGTGATTGTATGTAATTCGCCCAAGTGATAATTCAGTCTTTGTAAATATAAATGGTAAATCTGCTTCATTTTGCACAGAGAAACTTTTGCCTCAGCCTCTTTGATGTGGGCGTATCAAAACGGAGTCAAAGCGAAGAGCTCATAATAAAACGGACACCCAAAAAGTATGCAACAAATATGTAATCAACGAATGCTGAATGAGTGCGTGTGTGTGTGTGTGTGTGTGTGTGTGTGCGTCCGACAGAGATTAACATTTGCCATATATTGAATATGCAAGTTCTTCAGGATATAAACGCTCGCCATTCTAATGGAAAAGTTGGCGCCCATTAAAGCAAGCAGCGCAAAATCGAGAGAGAAAAAATTGATGTAAGCAAAAAGGACACACAACAGGATAACTGTCCCACTGAGTGAGTGTGTGTGTGCGTGTGTGTGAATGCACGCTACATTGGTTTTGATTTCACTTAAGCCCGGCTGTTTGTTGTTGGCAACCCTTGCAGCAACAGCATTTTATGGTGTCTGCGGAACGGGTTCGTCCTCTTCTTTTTTCCGGTATTTGATTCGAATGTCTGATGAAATACATTCTGGTCTAGTTGAGCGTCATGAAATAGCTCGCTTCGGCAGCTGACCTTTGACGTTACTTATGTTGAGTCCACTGCCCAACAGCCTTCGCAGCGACATCGACATCAACATTGTCAGCCTCAATGTTAGCGTCAGCACAGTGACACAGACACAGATCCACGTTTTATGATGGACGCTCTTCGAAAGCCTAAGCAGAGAGCAACCCACACAATCGTACACTGAGAGAAATCGATGGGTTGACTGTTAGTGTTATACATAAATTGATAATTCAAAGTCATTATCATTGTCAATGTCATGGCCAATGTCATTGACTTTGCCATTGTTATTTTCACGATAAGTTTCATGACAAGTTTCAAAATGAGAAAAACTCTTCTCTGAGTGTACTCAAGTAATTAAGAGTACATAAAAAGCAGAGGCATTACACTGTCATTGTCATCGTTATTTGCATTAAAACTGAGAGAAGTCCCTCTCCTAGTGTATTTAAGTAATTGTGAGTACATAAAAAGTAAAAGCCTTACAATTATACCCAGTGCAAGATGATACTATATACAAACACTCACACACACACAGACCTAACAAATCAGCTAAACTGCGTTGAACTGGGCTTTAGAAGAATCGTGGCTCAAGTAGCTCATTGTTGGCATAATGCGCGAGCAGCACTTAGCACTTGACTGCGGCGTGGCCATGGCACAGACATTATTATTGGCAATGTTATTAGAGGCGCTTAGGCGACGACTTATTAACATAATCATATCATATGCGAATCTAGATATTGTTGACTCAACAACAACAGCAGCAGCAGCAGCAGAAGCAGAAGCGTCAGCTTACAGCCAACACACTGAGCATCGAGGTCAGGCATCAGTGTGCATAACTCATTATTCATTTGGCTAACAGACGAGGACTCGCAGCGCTTCAAGTTCGCAGCGGCGATGTTTGCACGCGCATGCAAATCGTGTCCTACGCTAACGACTGCGGCTTACCCTTGAACTAGAAAGTCTACAGCGTGTGAAAAGCACTTTGAGTAGAGCTTTCAATTTCCAATAACAAGAAATCGATCAAAATGTGCCTTAATATGCATAAAATACAAGCGAGAGCAAATACAATACAATAATATAAATATGAATAATACATTTGCATTTATACTATCGATAATTATCGATTGACTTGCAATTGGCACATCACAAATACAAAATTATGTTAATACAATTCAATATAAAATATTTGATGACTGCCAACGTTTTCTGCCTCGATAACTTTGATTGATTTCCCCGATGGTTAACATTTATTTCATATTTTTATATACAGTTTTCCTTGTTGCTTTTACCATTTTCAAATCAGAGAAAAGCCTCGATATTTTCTCCGATTTATGGTTTCACTCTCAGCTCCTTTTTTCGAGCTCACTTGCGCCAACTCGCATTTCAGATAAAAGGGCAAGCATTCAACCTCAATAGCAAGCTCGATTTGAGCGTAATTGAAACAGATGTCTGTGGCGTTCACTGTTTACAGAAAATAATAAGTATACGCACAGTCGATTTGTTGGCAAGGCAACAAACGCATAATTTCACCGAATGTTAATGCTTCGCATATTTCAAAACAATTTCATCAACTACAAAGGATTTAAACAAAATATGGGACGATTTGTCAATCGTGCCTGTGAATCGAAATTTGAATAATAAAAAAAAACTGAATGGAATATGAGAGAATATTGAATAACAAAGCAGAGAGGTGGGCGCGTTTCCACTTCGAAACACTCCACATGATAAATTCGATATGTTCTTGGAATTGTTTTCATTCCATCTGCTCAATAAAAAATACCCTACGCAAACAAATAATAGAGGCACATACATTGTAATTTTGGGGAATGGAAATATTTAGGTTGTAATATTTAGTTGAAAGTGTGAGAGATAGCTAGATAGAAATAGAGCGGAGCTGTACCCAACTAAACAATTTCCAGCATAATACGATTTCCTCATGCAAGCCCCGCCCTCTTTTTAGGTGGAATTTAATTTTTCCTACTACTAACTGAGCACTGTTTGTACATACCCTAGCTATTTCGACGCTATTGTTTGACGGAGCATGTGAAAAAAATACATAACAGAAATATTGTGGCTGTGTCATGCTGACTCGCATTTGGTGATAAAAAGAAAAACCGCAGAGCGAATTCCATTGGCTCATAAATCGCGCGGCTTCTGTGCACAGGACACGTTACCCTGGCGACGATCTGTTGTTGTTTTGGCGTCAGTTCGGCCAAGCAGCTGGACATGTATCATTAAACATGTTCAGCGCGAGGCGAACATATATCATATTTCCTTATTTTTTTTCCAATTTTTTCGTTCCTGCATTTTGATTTACCAGTTGTCAGGCGTTGTTTATTTCTTTTGAACCCATTCATCAAGAGCAACGCAGGACCCTGGAGACGACACAGTTGGCCTTTCGCCCCAGCCCAATGTTTGCTCAAAGCCAAGTGAGTTGTTTGACAAAGTTTAGCGTACATGGGCCAAGCAAATATTGATACGATAATTATAATAATTGGTTTTGCAAGTAGGAATAAACAAATATGACGTAGGGAGTGCCCGACTAAGAGGTAGAGGTGGGTATACCTGCCCGATACGAGAAACATGACTACCTTCACTTTTACATAACTATTATACACTAAATTCCCATCTTCATTGATAAACTAATGGATATATAATAAACTCTATTTGAATTGAATCGCAATACACTAAGCACTCAATCTAAGGACGCATTATGTCACAAGAGTCCAAAGGATTTAAGATTCATTGAGCAGATGACAAAAAGGGGGTCTGACGGGGTAGAGGGGCCTGGGTCTGGCACAGCTGTCGTAAGCTTTGTCGTAATTATTGTGCATACTCTATTATTTATATGCCAATTCCCTTGACGTTCATTTATAACGCTTTTAATTTATGCAAATTGAAGATTGTTCGAACAGGTTTAACGTAACGCTCACAATAATTTGACAACATCCTGAAGCGTAGCTACCCCCAATCCCGTGACATCAGCGATAACAACTTTTAACACCGTCATCTCCTGAATATTTGAATACAGTACCTAAATATAGCGGTATAAATGTAATTGAATAAATTAAATTGGTCCTCTGAATTCAAAAACATGCAGAAAGGGAAACTAAAATTCGCTGGAACACAACTGTGCACAACAGTTGGG